ATTCAGTAAGTATATTGTGCGCAAAGTGTACACACAGGGAGCTTAATCATGATCAGGATGGCGGATTAGGTTAAAAAAACGGAGGCTACTGATTGGCCACTGTCTGTACGGTCTCTGCACACAGAGTTGTACGGCCGCACCTCCCAATCCTGGCGCGCAGGCATGCGATGACGTGTCCCACATGTCTAGCGTGAGCGTATTGGGCATTCGGAATGACTCATCCAAATGGAGAAATGCTGTTCGATTGCCTTTTAACATTTAACCCCAATTAACTACCCATGGGCGCTTATTCGGTTGGGCAGACATTTGGAAAACCCCTATAGTTAATTAATTCCATTAATTTTCAATTCTGTGTCCATTTTGATTCGTATGATATTTTTCGGCTATTTGCTTGCAGACTTGGTTGATGAACACCAATAATAGAAATCGACACTTTACTGACCACATCCTGTAATCATTTTTGATTTCAGAGTTAAGTTGGGTTTATTTAATTTATTTCTCCTAATTTCTCGTGTAAAATTTCATATTTGTATAAATTTAGTTTCAAAATGTTTTACATTTTCGGAATTATTCAAGGTACTTATGATGCATTTATTATAATCTTAACTTCCAATAGAGTAGTGATAATAATTTGTTAATTTCAGATTGCACCGAATAATATTCAGTCCCGAAGTAGTTGTCTGGATATTGATTTTCTTTATCGAAGAAGCGGGGGGGGGGTGAACGTAAAGATGCTGCGGCAATGTCAAAGTCATTCTTAATTAAATGCATCGGATTTGGGGTTTTACATTGTTTTCTTATTGAGTATTTTACGCTCCAGAATTTAACTGTCACGATTCGTCATTTGGATGACCGAGGAGCTTCCAGTCGATTATTTACTATGGCCCGTCTTGCCACTGCATTCAATGGTTATTTCTTTCAGATGTTATTAGACAGATTACGTGATCTTACTATTAGCAGACCTGAGATTGCTCAAATTCAAGGCTTATTGTTGAACGATTTCATTTGCTACCCCACGATGAAAGATAACAATAATTTATGTTTGAATCGGGGGTGTGTGATAGGCTTGCCTCCACGCGGTGCACCCTGGGCAGCATTTACTCATACGGCAAAAAAGTCTATTACCTGACCGTTGACTTCAAACTACCATGACCCCACTGTATGTCTTATTCGACTACTTTCACAGTACTCATCTCACCTTTTTCCACCTTATCTACCTTCGTCTTTGATACACTCTTCTGTTCCCCCCCCCCTCTTGAATTTTTTACACTTTGATGTTCCTTCCCCTCTGTGAAGACTGAAGTCGACTAAAGGACTAATGATAACAATCAAAACGCCTGCCATTTGATATAATAATAATAATGTTTGAATCGTGAAGCATTAAAATATTTCACTTACTTAAGTTATTAAAATAATATGAAAAGCAGGAACTTCGAGAAACTCTCACTCCATCTTGTAGCAGATCGTTGCACAAATAAGCCAAGATTTATTCTCATTAATCTCTATGGTAAGGTCACCTAGTTTGGTAAGAATCCTTTAATTAGCTAAGTTACCTCAACAATATGAAGGCTGAATTCTTTTAACCGGTATGTGTGCATGCTCAGTCGTATATGCGATGACATGGAACAAAATCATTAAGTGCTGTTTGGGTACAGTAGCACTGTAACGATTATTTGTTATTAATTGGTCGAGGGGTCGTTGCAATCGTGATCTTATGCGCTCCCTAGCAAGATTGGCTACACGTCCGAGACGTTCCGGAATGTTTGTATTCCGCATAACAGTTCATCGGTTAACATTAATCAAAGTGGTAAATTAGTGCAATCGAAATATTAATGAGGTAATTTTTTTAATGCAAATAACTAGGGTATTATTCATTGGTTATATTTGCGGCGGTATATGAAAATAACAAGACTCGTCACACGGTGTAAGTTGGAAAATAAGCACTGACTAAACCACAGCAATCTCTATGACAAATTCCACTAATATGAAATGGTTTTCGAACTTAGCTAAGCTACCTTAACAAATTAAGAGCAAAAGAGTGCTTGGTGCGAATAGCGTTTAATACGACTGTGTCAATGTTACAGAGCTCCGCCATTAAATTTCAATTTTGTCAGTGCTGTCTATGCAATGACTACTGATTGTTGATTGGTTGAGAGGCCTCTGTGATCTCCCCCCTACGTGATCAGCAGAACATCGCACTTGATGGCTGAGGGTTAAGTATCACGCGGCGCGTTCTGGCGAACATGAGATTCCTTGATTCAGTCACGCTTGAGTTAAATTCCGGTAAAATTCTAGGGAATGACCTTCTCTATGTGACCTGTCGGTTCTATTTGTACCTCTACATTGAACCCCTCTTCACCCC